TGAAAATTAACCAACTTTTCATTACATTATATTCTTATATATAATTTTGGCAAAAGATAAATTATTCTTGTATATAACATTCTAAATAACAGTGCCGATTGGTAATTGGGGATGTGACCAGTGCCTATGCCCCTCAGGTAGGTCTTAGTGAGAGCGCCAAGAGGCAATTCTGGGAAGATCTGGACACATTGGTCAGTACGGTGCCTGCCAACGAGAAGCTCTTCGTAGGAGGAGACCTCAACGGACATGTGGGTGCGACTAATATAGGTTTCGAGAGAGTACACGGAGGATTTGGGTATGGTAGTAGGAATGAAGAGGGGGAGGGTGTGTTGGACGTTGCGTTGGCCTACGACTTGCTGATAGCGAACACCCTCTTTAGGAAGAGGGAATCCCACCTAGTGACCTTCCATAGTGGACGTCACTCAAGTCAGATCGACTTTATCCTTGCAAGGAGGGAGGATAGACGCGCCTGCGTAGATTGCAAGGTGATACCTGGGGAGTGTGTTGTCCCCCAGCATAAGCTGGTGGTGGCGGACTTTCGACTCCGAGTACGTGTCCACCGGGACAAATGTGCCAAGACCGTGAGAACGAAGTGGTGGAAGCTTAAAGGGGAAGTGGCGCAGACGTTTAGGGATAGAATGCTAGGCGAGGGGCCTTGGGAAGAAGGAGAAGATGCAGATGACATGTGGCTAAAGATGGCAACATGTGTTCGGAAGGTGGCTGCAGAAGTACTTGGTGTGAGTAGGGGAAGCAAGCAGGATGCGAAAGACACTTGGTGGTGGAATGACGAATTCAAGAGAAGAAAGAGTGTTTCAAGCGTCTCCACCTCGACAAGAGTGCAACCAACATTGAGAGCTATAAAATAGCGAGAAGGGCTGCAAAGCGTGCCGTGAGTGTAGCGTAGGGTCAAGCCTATGATGACCTCTATCAACGCCTAGGCACGAAGGAGGGGGAGAAGGACATTTATAAGATAGCTAGGATTCGGGAGAGGAAGACAAGGGACATCAACCAAATCAAATGCATCAAGGATGAGTCGGATCGGCCACTGGTGAAAGATGGGGAGATCAAGGACAGATGGCGAGAGTACTTCAACAAATTGTTTAATGGGGAGAGTGAGGGTCCTACCCTGGAGTTGGTTGACTCATTTGAGGATACCAATAGATGCTGGGTGAGGAGAATCCGAGAGGCAGAGATCGGAGAGGCTATGAAGAGGATGAAGGGAGGTAAAGCAATGGGCCCTGATGGTATTCCTATTGAGGTGTGGCGATGTTTGGGCGCCAGAGCGTTAGTATGGTTAACTAAGCTTTTTAACCTCATCTTTTTGTCAAACAAGATGCCTGATGAATGGAGGAGAAGTACTTTAGTACCGATCTTCAAGAACAAGGGTGATGTTCAAAGTTGTGGTAATTACCGTGGGATTAAGTTGATGAGCC